GACATTAAAAATTGAAGATCATCGAAGAACACGTGATTTAGAAACAAGTGCAAATAAATTATGAGCGTGGACTGAAATCACTCACCGCTTCCATGACATCAACACCATACCGGATATTTTCAGTAACAGAACGAGCAAACAGCACAGGTTCTTGGCCAACAAGGGCAATCTGAATGAGAGGGAAATTCAGATGTGTCAGGAATGTGCATCGAAATTGCAACTAAAAATACCTTTCTGTGGATGTAATGATGCTCATAATCCTCCAAGGGTACACCGTCGACAAGCACCTGGCCAGCATTTGGCTGGTAGAAATTCTCTAGCAAGGCAATACATGATGACTTTCCAGATCCGGAAGGACCAACAAGTGCGACCGTCTCTCCCGGCTCGACCGTGAACGAAAGATCCTGGAATTTAAATATCAGCGAGAAGGTTACGGCTTAGACTCCAGTAAACACAACGTGACTGCCGGAAACTGTGCTCACACGAAGAATCGGAATGTTGCTCCTAGTTGGATAGCTGAAGTGGACGTTACGGAACTCAATACGTCCATTCAACACCGACGGCTGAGCTGTCCCGTAATGAAGAATTGTTGGAACACGGTCGATATACTCGAATACCTATGGAAGAAATCATCAAATATTTGTCTATTATTGTTCTGGCCCAAGAGTGCTTCTATAACGCCGATGGAAATTTCTGCAGCTAAAATCAGGGTCAAAAGCGGAAGTAAGTGTTTACAATCTACTGCACGATCCTCACACTTGGTAAGTACCATCTTCCAACATTCAATAAAAGAGTCCACCACTTGTGAAAGTGGCCCATCCCAGATGGGTGGTTCACCTCCTAGTAGGCCCTGGTTGGGATAGCAAGCATGGTCGATTCCAGACACAGAAGAGCTCCCATTTCTCTACTACTAAAATAGCTCCCTGCCATTGCGGAATAGGCAGAGTCAGATTGTCGTTTTAAATAAAATAGAGAAAACTTCATCAAATTCTTCACCTTTCTGCTTGCTCCAACCGATTGCATCAAACCAGTCCACACTTCTCCCATCTGTCGCAGATTTTCACAGAGTTGCATTTGATAGAGTAGGAATGAAACGAGCAGATCTGACTTCAAATTCGAGTTGAAATACATGAAAAATGCCTTGAGAGCGCTCAAATTCGAGCGATCTTTTTATGCTTACCTTCATTTTCCCACTGAGTACCAAATGACCACCATACCACATGACTGCAACAATGATGAATGTTTGGAAAAGCTAAATATGCAAGGATTTCTCGCGGAAAGAAGCCGATTTTGTAGAGATCACATGATACAATTTTACGATTTTTCACCTAGTCCCCAAATCAAGAAGATCACGTACGCGGAGTAGGGGCATGACATAGCTTCACTATGAAATTGACAAAAAGACCCTGGCTTCTATCAATCTGTCTGGGTCTTCTCTCGATCACAAGCAACCCAACAGAGATAAAAGGCAACAATACGCGAGCAGATGGAAGATCACAACGTCAATACTTCAACTAGAGAACACTAAAAGGAAAAAAACCAACCTCAGATACCCATAAGAATCCAACGTAGGCGATCGCCTTTGTTTTGGTCACGTTAAGGGTCTTCGTCAGCTTCATGTAGAACCGATCGCCCTCGACCTCTTCACACGCAATGATCGTACCGTTCGCATCGTCGATAGAACTAGATGGTAGCTTGCAGCCAATTACAAGACAAGAGATTTCAAATATAATTGTTTTAGCAAAAAATTGAAGATCTGTCAAAACCGTCCGCAAACATTAACTAAACATATTCGCCTATTTAGAAAAATCTACTACTATATTTAACATTCGCGACCGCGCGCGGGACTGCGCATTAGTAGGAGAGTCAGGGGATCCTAAATAATAAAATTTTAGTGGATGGAGATTCCCCTGCCCAGGCTGGCATAGATGAATGAGGGTATGAAGATTCTTTTCAGGAAGAAAACTTTCCAAATTCCATTTGAAACACGGCAGCCACCGGTGGATACCATTGTACAAGTGAGATCTTTGTCAGCCACCGGTGGCTGCCATTGTCACGATGGGTTAAAGGCTGTGTACGATAACAGGATGTTGAAGAATAGATCGCTTCAACTACTAAGAGCTGAGCAAACATGCGAACAGGGTCAACCGTGCGCTGGACAAAGTCAACGAGGGGTGGAGGGGTCGTATTTGGGGTGGAAAAAAGGGGGGTCGTATTTCGCGAGGTAGCGTTAATGTTACAGTAAGGGAAGTGATGATGCAGTTGGTTGGCGCGCTAAAATTTTGCCGTTTCACGGTGTGTATAAGCCCCCCCGCTCGACGGTAATTTTGGAGGAAAAAAGTGGGCGGAGTTTGGGCTGTGTCGACTGGTCTACTGGACTCAGAACCACGTACTATAGAAACCGCGGTTGACCCTGAAGGGGGTCGTATCGAGGCCCTCTAGAAGGGGGAGGGGTCGTAAAATTTTCGAAATCGGTCCAACGTGACGATTGACCCTGCATGGGAACGGTATGTGGCGCTTTCGCGGCGAAATGGGAGCCCGTAGCGGCATATTAATGCTGCACTTGTCTCTCTGCACGCCTTTACGCTGCTACCCGTCTACGATGGCTGCTGGTTTCAGGTCATCTGACTCTGGCCCTTTCGGTAGAGAGGCAGAGCAGAGCGTTTATTTTCACAACTAATAATATCAACATCGTTCCGGTAGTCTAGCGCGGGAAACAACTGGAAAATAGAAGCCTTCTCAGTGATTTCAGGCATTAATCTCGGTTTTCTTGAAGCTACGACCTCACATAGCCTTCCTACTTCTATTCCCGCTGGCGATCAATTCATCGTACAGCTGCTTTCAGAATCCGATATTCCTGACGGCTGGCGCTAAGAGCCAGCCGTCAGGAATATCGGATTCTCTCACTATAACTTGTAGTATAGTAGGTCAAAATCTATTAGGAGAGTGCTCACTAAACAAACAAGTTTATGGAAGTTTGAACCCAAACCACCTCTACGTTTTACATGCGACGGCTTAAGGGTGATGCATAGAACGAATTATGACCGAAAAAATCATTCACATAAAGAGCAGTTGAAAAATAAAAATATGATAGGCCACTAACTTCTTCAGCAACGTCGTTCGAGTCTGCGACGGCATTCTGAGTTCGTTCGGAAAGTATCTACAAATTTGATTTATTTGTATCGCTTATGATCGCCTCACATTGCAAAGCATTCTCAGAAAAAGGTTTCTATAAAACAAGTGGTCATGACTCTTCGCTAAAATGTGAGCAAAAAACATGTTGCCAGTACGTAATATTGAAGCTCACATATCACTTACATCATAGTATGATCCGAAAATCTTCGAAGCAACGAATATAATGGGCACGAGAATGAAGGTGATGAGCGAAAGTCGCCACGACAACGTCATCATAAAAATCATTGATCCCATCAACATTACAGCATTTCTGAATGCGATTGGGATAGATGCCCTTTATTGAGATGTTTGTGAAACCAACTACCTCAGGAAAACGTTCACATTCATAGCAACCGTATCGGACATAGTCTGACAGTCGGCGGCGAGTCTTGAAGCAATTTCACCTTAGAATCGACATTTACTCACAAAATTATGCGGTAAATACACGTAAAGAAGTATTGATTGACGCTGGGTTCATATACTGAAGAAAGTTATCCAATTGATCTACTGGTTGACGTCATAATTGGCTTGCAAGCTCAAAAATACAGTAACAAAAAGCAAAGCAGCCGTGTCACCTTTTCCCTATTTTTATTGGACAATTCCAAGCTTTTTTTTTTCACGAGGAAGGTGCTCAGTATATAAGCTTACATGCACTTACATGCTCAGCTCTAGATCAATTCAATTGTGTTATTTGTTCATGGAGAAAAATAACCTGTTTTATGAGCATCAAAGAAGGCAACATCTTGCCTTACAAGTCCTGTGAAGAGATCGTGTCCCCCCCGTTTTTTAAATGGGGCCCCCTCCCTCGATTGATTCTCGAGTATGCATACTCGAATGATCCACCACGGTAGCCCAGCAGCAATCGCGCTGAAAACAAAAGGAATTGTAGTATTCAACATAAAATGAGGTCGAGTAAAAATTCTGCTGGGGAGTTCTAGCTACGAAGGAAGTACGGCGCAATGTGGCTCGGGGGGGGGGGGCACTCTGAGAAAAGTCATCTAGGACTAAGCCTAAACAGCAGGGACGAACTCCGGAGAATACGAAAATTGCTTCCGTACACCGGAGTTCCTCTCCTCTTCAAAAGCTTAGTCCTAAAACGGAGCGTTTCCGTGATTTTGACGCGATGTTGCGAGGTGCCTCCCCAGCCACATTGCGCCGGAAATACTTTATTGGTCACCGTCAGATTGTGGACCTTTCTACAAATAACGTTTTTCAAGTAAGGGCGAAGGTGGTATAATGGCTGCGGCAGCGGCTTTACCACACGCCAACGGTGCAATACAGTAGCGGTCAAAAGTGTTCGCCGGAACATGTTTTTCGTGCTTCTCTTTTTTCCACAAAAAATCAATGGTGACCTCGAAAAATTTTTCTTTTGAATATCCTGATTCTTCAAGACTTGAGGATATAAAAACACTAGAAAACATAGTATATCAATCTTTGGAGGACGTTGCTCAAGCGAGAAAAAATAATGCACTAAAAATCGTTTCGGCGAACACTTTTGACCGCTACTGTAGATAAAATCCTGATCGTACGTCGTCTAGTCTGGCCAAGTCTTCCACCCCTACGGGATCGCTAATTTTACCTAGAGGCACTGGCTTATAAAGCGACCTGCCCCGAACATTGTACTGGCGAATTTGCATGTCACTACGATTCTGAATAGAAGTATATGTGTCACATCTCAAGAATGACTGATCAACGCCGAAACGCTTCGTTCGTTTCAATCCAAGTTATAAAAAATAACAGATGTCGAAAATGGTAGGGGAAGGAAAAACCAATATAGGATCTCGGTAATGAGTAATATGAAGCAGCAGGTGCTAACTGAATGCTAATAAGGTAAAAACTGTCAAAAACAGCTAATTCCTGTAGGATCCTTTTATAGCGGTGAGCAAGCCTGCGAGAAATCTCCCATGATTAGGTGAGAGGACAGATTTGAAAACGAGGGAGTACAGACAGTAAGCGAGACGATCATTGAAGAGCTATAGCAGTCAGACAATGGTTGTCACATGATTGTTCACTTTCGTTCAAGTAGAGACAAAGTTATGCGAGTTTAGAGTAGTTCTGAATTATCTTCAGCCTGCTGTAGAAAAGAAAAGTGCAGACAGAATTTGACAGTTCTACATCTCAGCTCTCGACTCACCTCACAAGAGAGATGATGATCATAATGTAGATGGAAGTTGCTAGAGCTGGATAAGATTTCGTTGCAACCACTGTGGCAATAACCTGGCCCGTATAGTACGGTGAGAAGATGCGAGCTAAACGAACCAAATACTAGACTGAAGGTGTAACTAATCGTCATGGGTCGGGCGCTAAGCCCTCGTAATTTTGAAGCATTCCAAGAAGTTCGGATTGAGAACACGAAGAGCTATCTCAAACAAGAGGTTTATGCAACTGTTTTTTTTTGCATGTTTACTGAAATTTTTCGTATTGTTGTAGTTAGGACAACAAGAATTCTGACTTATTAATACAAAAGGCTTGCCCAAGGTCGACCATAAATGTTCATTCTTCCTTAAATGCTGAAAGATTGTAGCTTTCTTATGATTTCCGGCCTTACAGCAAGAATGTTGCGCGGTTTTGGGGAAGCCAAAGAGCACCATGTATTCAAGATTGCGCAACTCGATCAAGCTCTCTGATATGCCTTAACCATTTGCTCTCTCCAGTCGCGCAGTAGTCATATAATAAGATTTATTGAGGACTTGTAGCCCTACACCTTTCCTCTTTTTTGCTCTCTGCTCCTATTTTATCGTACATTTTGCGAAAAGTAGCTCGTAAAACGTGTTGACTGATAGCGCGACCAATCAATAAAAACCCACAGAGATAATGAGAGGAGAGCGTGCTTTGATCCCATCATGTTTCACTAAAAATATTTTTGAATTTGGCTTCCATACACTGCAGTTTTTCCTCAGGAGCCGCTGTGATTTTCCTGCGTCCGTCAAACACTTTGCGCTTGTGTTTACGTCAACTTCCATATCTTGACACGTTGTGCAGGGGTGAAATTCCACAATATGCGAGCCTTATATGTATCTTATCAGAATAATAATGACATCATGCCAGAAATCATTATGGATTTGAGTTCTAGTTTCTTAAGCATTGGTGTTTCTTACCACTTACCTTACCTCCAGCCGCTAGGGTAACATCTTGCCAAGTCAGTGCGAGTGCACATAGCAGGTACCTTTGACTATAGTGAAGGAGACAGTAATCGCAAAAGTAGCACTAATTGATTCCGCAAAACCTATTGGTTTACGAGTTTTGGTAGCGGTCACTTCCTATCCCTTCCCTTATCACATCCACTTATGCCTATAAAGAGGCGTTTGCCGCACTTAAACAGACCAGCAATGCCACAAGCAAAGTGATTTCTATACTGGTGGCAGTCCGCGAATCGCACGACGGATCGCAGACCCCGCTACCAGCCTAGCAGCGAAATAAATAATGTGTCCCCATTGAAAACGTTGGAAAAAGGTGATGTTTCCAGAGCCAGATAAAAGAACTCGACAATCAACGGGACACCAGGAGATAAAGTTGATTTAGATAAATCGAAAAGCTAAAGCACTTACTAATAGAATAGATGAAAAGCCATGAAAAGCCCGAGACATGCCAGATCCATTCTCGTTTACAATACTGCAGCAGACGGAAAATTAAATCAAACGTTTCCTTGGGTGGAAGCTCCTCATCCTGAATAGAATGATTAGCAAACGTATAATAGAAGCATAAATAGGATTACTCAAACTCATTAGGCAGATATTTCTGAAGGAAGTTTTAAATTGAAGAAGTGTTCAGCTTTTACAGAAGAGTAACTACGATGTACGAGAAGAAAATTATTGTTGTGCAGTCCGTTTTTCAACTTTTGTTGTTTCAAATCAATCCCATGAAAGATAGCGCCCCTGCAGATTAGATGAAGAAATTCTTGAAGTGCTCAATTCCGTCTCACCTCGTCCTGCTCAAGTAATACGTAACTAGATGGAGGATGACTGAAGTACGATTTCCAAGTCAAGTCCAGTAGAAAAGCAGCGAAAACGTTCCACAAAAGAAAGGCATAGTCACCGACAGGAAGGTAGGTTCCTGGAACAAATGAGTTATAGGGAAACAAGATGACCAAATTTGATGGCAGTAAACCATCCGTATTCAAAACAGTCCAATTTCTTTGAATCAATCAATTTCAGGACCGTGTGAGATATATGCGAACGAAAACAAGCAGGCGGAGGAATGGAAAAAAGAGGGAGAGCTTGGACTACAGCTAGCTTATGAGTGCGCCGGATTCGAACAACGAGGCATAATGAGGTGTGAAGGAATGAAAGAAAGTTTGGGAAAGGAAATAAAAAGGGAAATTACAGATTGAGACAAAAATACTCCAATTTAAGGGTATTCTTAAAACAACGGGAAAGAAAAGCATGAATACAAGGCGAATGAAATTTGAATAGAGGACATGTAATAAAGAGAGACACGTGTGTCTTTGTGTGGCTACATTGTGAGGTGGGCAAGCTTCTTGTCAGGTGTAAAGGATAAAGGATAAAGCATTTGCCGTTGATCAATCCCTTTTGGGATGCGGCACGCATTCTACTTCCATTTGTACATTCGTAGTGGCGTTTGAATGCGATGTGGCCTATACAATGACTTGCGGGGGCCAGCCGATGTTCAAGTCTCCCAGACAAGTCTGGTACCAATTAACCGACCCCGGAGGGATGGAAGGCTTGGTTGGCCCGGGCGACTCACGACCCAGGATTTGATCCCCGGACCGCTCGCGTGGTAAGCGTGCCACTTGCCACTACACCACTTCCACCCTAAATAATGGAGACTAATAAAATGA